GAAACCAGTACAACCAACGCGGCTGTCGGTCAACAGACTGGCAACAGACATTGACTGGCCGGGAGCCCTGATTCTCAGCACCGCGCTAGGACTCCTCTCATACGTCTTTGCGTAAGTGCTCATGCACAGCCCCGCGATGAAATGCCGAGCTAAGCGGTTCCAGCGTCTTGACTGGCAATGTTTCAAGCATCAAGTCACCCACGAATATTGCATGTTTGTCAACGGCCGCGGCTCTGATCCCAGCATTCGTCTTTTGGGTCGGTCGGCAGGAGAAGCTCAACCGCCCAGCAATCATCCCAAACTCGCTGTGGCGCAACAGAGTCTTTACGGGCGTTTGCATCGACGTTTTTCTTGCCTGGGGAGCTTTTAATGCAACCGAAACCCTTCTCACCTTCTTCTTTCAGGATGTGCAGCGACTCAGCGCCACTCAGACCTCTCTGCGCTTCTTACCGTCTCCGGCTTCTGGCATTGTCACAAATATTCTCATGGGCCTGGCCGTGCACAAAGTTCGCGCAGACTGGGCCGTCATCTTTTCCATGGCCATTTCCTGTCTTTCACCCCTCCTCGTTGCCATCATGAAAGTCCGCGCCCCTTATTGGGAGTACGTATTCCCAGCCATTACGTTAAATGCAATCGGACCAGACGTTCTCTTTACTGTATCAAATCTGGTCATCACTGCTGCATTTCCGGAGAGGACCCAGGCATTGGCAGGAGGGGTCTTCAACACTGTCGCACAAATCGGCAAAAGTGTCGGCCTGGCGCTCTCCGCTGTTATCGCAGGAAGCATCACGATGCAATCAGACTACCCAGACAAGCATGCACCAAAAGCACTGATGGAGGGATATAGAGCCGCATTCTGGTTCTGCGTTGCTCTCACGTCAAGCACCCTAGTAGTGAGTCTTTGGGGTTTGAGGAGCATCGGAAAGATCGGGCTGAAGCGAGAATGAACCCTCCCGACTTCAAGTCTCAGCACAAGCCCGCTTCATGTGTGCCACGTAGACATATATATATATACATACCGAAAGCGCCATCGCATTGGGGCTCGATGCCGGCCGGCCGCTTCATCCACATTAGCCGTCCTAATACATGGTCTACCCGGCCTTCAGACGCTTGTGACCCGTTTTGCCCGGACGACCACGGCTCCGGGTCGTCTTGAATTCGGCAAGCTTTGTGTCATGTGCTGGCCCCCAGACGCTACACGTGGGTTCCTGACGGACAAGCATTGGCATCTCTCGGCATACCGTTCTTATCTGGTTTCATCGTCCACATCACCCTGCAGCCAGCCCGCCGTCTCTGGGAATTGGCCGGTCATCCTACGCGAATCGATGAAGGTGCCCCTATTTCTGGCATCGCCACCTTGTCTCTGGCCTTCACCAGGCGGGGTCGAGGGGTAGGAGATCCGGATAATTGGTTCGCTCCACCTATGATATCGAGAGACGCAGAAAGATCAAGGAAGAAGTGGCGAAACCCACCAGCATACAAGTACATAACTCAACTGACTCGCTGAAGATGCTAAATGTGTTGTGACCACGACGCAAACCTCAATTTCTCAATCAACACTTGCTATCCTCCAACACGCCCGTTCCTTGTATATCTTCTATTAATTGTCGAGTTGGTTGTCGTACCTCAACCCATCAAGCAAGGCCCCCATCCCTCCCAGTCTTTTTGCGGCCCTTCTCCATCATGTCGATCAAGGAGCCAAAGTCAGCCTTTGACCGCAACCCTCAATTACAGTCGTCACGACCTGCGAGCATTTTCTCGGCGCAATCCATCGACACTCTTGTCGCTGATCAGAGCTACCGAGGGTTCCCATCCGAGCAAGCGTACCTTGATGCTCTAAAAGAATGGGCACAATCAAAAATGTACTATGAGTCTGATGAACAACTCCAAGGCTTTTACGGCACCAAAACTCTGGATGACATCCTGACCAGACAGGGGACTCCCCGGAGTGCGAAGAAGAATACTAGAGACCAGAGAAGAGCAACGGTAGCTCCTCAGCTTGCTACCGTTACCGAGCACAATGGCAGTGCCGCAGCCCTTTCTAGGGAGAATTCCGTTGCTGCAGCTACAAACCCAACGCATACGCAAACGGAAGGCAAAGGCAGCAAGCTGAAGAGGGTCTTCACACGGCGCAAGTCTGTTGTATGAAGCAAAACCGAAGCAACGGCGATTACGACACGTCATGTACTTTACGGGGATCTACACATCCGGAGGTTTGGGCAGACATCATTCATTAGAACAGAGAAGGACAAAACGAGCATTCGCCAGGTATCTGTCTGTGAGCCAACTTATACATATACTTCCACATACCAGTGTCTCGTGTCACCCTGTCTCAGTGCCGCCAGCTCCCTGGCCCCATGAGAATGGATGCCTGTGAGAGAACTCACTCTCCCAACTGACCTATGGCCACTGCTTTGTTGTTTGTTGAAATAATTCCGGAGAGCTTATTTCCCGAGTATGCTAAACCTACCTAGGTTGCTGTGCCGCTGGAGTGCAGGCACAATCGAACAAGCTTGCTAGGAGTTCATTACTGCCGAACTTGGGAGACTCCGGTTTTGGGGGACCCCTTTCGATGCCAGCCCAATACCGAGTACGTCTCCTGGCTTTTCCGCTTACACACTTGGGGTCCTTGTGGCTTGCCAGCACAGAGGTCCTTTCGAGAACAAGCCCCGACAAGGGTGCAGAGTTCTCGGTGGCGTTGTCATTGCCTGCTCGCCTGTACTTGTAGGCCCCTGCTGGGCGGATACAACCAGACTGTATCTCGTAATTGAGGCGATCGAGGTTGAGGGCTCGGCGCTGAGACGGCTTTCACGTGTCCTTTTTCCACAGCTTCGAGGCGATAGATTAACCCCTGTCGGTGAATGCCTAGGCTCGATTCTTCGTCTGTGCTGAATAAGGTATGATAACAACCTAGGAATTGGAGCGGGAAATTTCCCTGCAACCTGCGTTAACCTGTAAAGACTTTCGAGTAACTACCAGTCCATACAATGAACCTTCCACCATGGCTGCGACTTCCACATCCAAGCCTAGCTATCCGGCTGATCTTCTGTGGGTCAATCATGATGCACAGAACATGAAAGCGCAGCCCCACCGGCAACGTGTCTTCAGCCATATTCAACAACGGTACCGACCCTGGCAGAGACGCGATTCAGCCCAGAAATTAAGAAAGAGCGTGCAAATACCAACGATAGGCTCTCGAGAGCAGTCTTCTGAGAGTGAGGAAGATCGCTTCGAGTCGTTGGTGCGGACAAGTCGTGACATGCCCCTAGAGCCATACTGATCCGTTATATAGGGCACTTCTCCAGCCTCGTCATGCACTTCTCACAGCTCGGACCGTGTGATAAATCCGTCCAGAAGTCCTAGCCTTGTTGTGCATGATGTAAAGGTATTTCGAGGAAATTCTGATCCATTCGACGCCTATCCTGTCACAATATCCCCGAGGGTAAACGACATTCTTCGATTCTACCGAGACATCGTCATCCCTTCCCAATACCACACCAGCATGGATGGTTGGAGAACGCTAGACGCCGCTGCCGACGACTGGAGGGATGTCGTCCGCTCACTGCACGAGAAGGGTGGCGCGCTAGGATTTCTTGCGCGATGGGCACAAGTCGCATCCAACGTCACCGAAAACTCCGAGCTCGCTGTGCAGAGCTTGCGCTTTCGATCTGAGAGTACCTCGATGCTTCTACGGAAATTGCAACAGCGCTCTGGAATCGTTTCGAGGACGTCTTACTGGCACATCATAGCGTTATATATGGCCGAGGCACAAGCTGGAAATGCTGACGGGGCGTGGCTCCATGCAACAATGCTGTGTCGGGCATTGAAGTACGAGAGTCGACATGGGCAAGTGGACATCACGTCTCTGCGATCCTTCATGTACAACGAAGCTTGCGCCTGCTGCATGTTCCTGAGGAAGCCCGTCTTGGATTATGACGGTTGGGTCCAAGATGTGTTCAAGACAGCGTGGGCAAAAGGCAGGAAGGAACTGCCGGCCATGCACCTATCGTTCCCCACATCTCTGGATCCGTCAATTGAAGACGAGTTCCTTATAGAAATGTTTATCCGGGAGCGCGAAAGTCTCGCAGTCTGGCAACACGGCTCCGAAAGGGCGGACGGACTATCCCCTGCCGTGTTTACGTGGTGGTGTTCCAGCCACCTGGTCAATCATACAAGGCTCGTAAAGTATACACTGAACCGTATCGACGACGCAAAAGAAGGTAAAGCCCCACAGTCCCATCTTCACAAGAAGAACGCCTACCTTGCTTTGACTGCTGTCTATTGGACGCGCCTCATTGCTGGGGACGAGACACTCCTGGGAAAGGAGATTTACCAAACAAAGAAACCCTTGCGAAGTCTGACCCGACAGCTTCTTGAAAAAGAGCAAAAGGTTGTTGAATTCACCGGATCGATAAAATACGCAAACGCGCGGCTGTGGGCTCTTTACGTCGGTGCGCAAGCAGAGCATGACCAGTTCGGAGTTCGACATGCCAGCGAGAGTTGGTTCAGCGATCAGTTCTCTCTCCTGGCTTCTTGGATGAATCTGTCCTCTTGGAACTCCGTTCGCTTGATTCTTGACGGTTTCTTAGACTGCGATGTCGTCGAACCACGTGGTTCTCAGTTTGTGCCGGCACTGTTGTCGCGTCGTCCCTCAGCGCAAAAAGGAGGCAGTCCACAATCCTCCAAGGCGCCATGACCGAACCCGAGAGGTAATCGACAGATATTTCTTTCACCGTGGAGCGAGCAATCAATTAACGAGAAACATTCACTATACGCGAAGCAACGCAGGGTTCAACAGAGACCAGGCATGACTTGTTGTCCGTCAATGGCCCAGACCCATAGCTTCATCCGTGCAGGAAATTGCGATAACACCCACCCTCGAGCTCAAAGGCAAGCTCCTTTAGGAGACGAATGGTAGTGGGAGTCCTCATGCCGAACCTGTTCCTGGAGATAATAAAGAAGGAAAAGCAAAGGCCCATCCTTTGCTGCGCTCCATCAACATGGATGTCGTGCGAAACAAAGCAGAAATGCGGAATCAGGCGACCACACGGTGCGACACAAGAGAGGCCGCTCCAGCAATCAAGGCTGGAGACGGAGAGCTCAATCGTCTTCTCAAAATATCGGTGCAACGGATCAAGTCGATCAAGGCAAGACCTACGGACTTTGCAAATGCTCACACTCGATTTAGAGACTGCATTAGTTGGTTTACAGCAGAAGACTCTGCCCGTGTGGCATCCAACGGCCAGTCCGATGGTATTGGAACACCAAGAGAATCATCATGGGAAGATTTGAATACAAGAGGCAAATTCTTGCCATTACCACTCAATTGGCAAGGACCCTGTTTGAAGGCAGAGATAAACAGCAGAATTCTCCCAATTTGGCAATTACGGGCCATGTCTCCAGAAGGATTGTTGGCCGGGTTCGGTCGGAAGCAATAACTGTGAGTATCCCGCACCAACAAAGGTTCCAAGATTTGACATTGCAACGCTCTTTTCCAAGGAGAGTGAAGCATATGACAGCGCCGAACGAGCCAGCATACTACTTGCTTATCTTACACCTAATCCAGCTCCAATGATGCATGTCATCGCACCACTACCGACAACAATTCTATTTTCTGGACTCGGCGAGGCTTCAACCGGGGGTATGAATGCCGAATTGGCAGATTCCCAGGGACAACCAACAGACCAGATGATATTAAGAGGCGAAATGGTACTGCCATTGACCAATGTCCTGGAATTGGGAGCGTACAACCATCACCTTCTCTCATCTGTGGCTGTAAATGCGTTGGACCCGTTCAGGATGAGTTCGGACGGCGAGAACCAGGTCCTCCTTTATGACCCTAAACCGGCGCCGACATTGCATATCCCGCCAGGCGCCGCAGCCAAAGTTCAAATCATTGACACAACCTCCCGCCTCGATGTGTCCTTACAGGTCTTCATGGGCCCAACACAATTTGGGCATGAGATTCTCAAGGTGCCGTCCTTCTCTTTCCTCATCGAACAAGTTTCCTCGGGCAGGCAAATTCTCTTTGACCTCGGGTGCAGGAAGGACTGGCAAAGACTTCCGCCTCCTGTGTTGGGGCTCGTAACTCAGCCAAGTTGGAAGATTGAGGTCGAGAAAGACTCGGTGGCTCAGATCTTGCAGGGGAACGACGTCGATGTTGCTGGCGGCGCTATTGAAGCCGTCATCTGGAGTCACTGGCAGTATGACCACCCTGGAGACTCCAGCACCCCCCCAGGGAGTACAGCCCCGATTGTTGGACCCGGTGTGAAGGAGACGTTGCTTCCGCCATATCCAGAGAACGAAAATTCGCCGCTCCCGGACACTGATTTTGCGGGCCGAGAGCTGAAAATCATCGACTTCGAGAACCAAACCACTCTTCATATTGGCCGCTTCCGCGCAGTCGATTATTTCAACGACGGATCCTTTTATCTCCTCGACGCGCCAGGCCACGCGATCGGTCACATGTGTGGCCTTGCACGTGTGACATCGACGCAGGATGGTGACGCCGAAGACGCATTCGCCCTCATGGGTGCGGACGCGGCACATCACGGCGCTGAACTGAGACCTTCCGAGTATCTCCCGATTCCAAAGACCCTCGACCCTACACCCTACGCTGCTAAATACCCAACCGTGTGCCCCGGCCACATCTTTGAAACCATCCATCTGCGGAAGAAAGGGACCGAGCCATTTTACCACATTCACAACGGTGTCGCCCACGACCCCTGGCAAGCGCAGGAGATTGTCGGCGTTTTGCAGGAATTTGACGCCATGGACAATGTTTTTGTCGTGATCGCTCATGACGGCAGCTTGTTGGATGAGAGGGTCGAGATTGACTGGTTCCCGCAAGGGACATTGCGGGACTGGAAGCAGAAGGACTGTGCGCGCGAGGCTAGATGGGGTTTCTTGGAGGATTTGACCAAGGCCGTCGAGCATGCCACCGCAGCTGATCATGGAGACCATGAGGCTTCGGCCTTTTTGTTTGGGGGGGATGAAAGCGCCCCGTTATGAAGGAGGAAAATGAATGGACGAAATGGAATCCACCGCATTCACGCAATGTCACCAACCCGGGCCGAATCCCTGATCGTTGGTTCCGGCTAAAGAAGAACTACTTGTATCATTATGGCTCGTGGGCTGAACCAACTATGTTCAAATCTCATCTCATCTCAACTCATTGCAATCTAACGGACAAATTCCTCGGTACCATGACGATACAGCGGAGAAAAGTTGAATTCATTCAAGGATTGTCATATAAGCGTCGCTCAAGCCATTTCAATGAAGAGGGACGGAGCAAATATATATATGACCACTCGTTCATGGTGGTACAGTCACTCAAGACCAACCCCCTCCCTCCCTTTTTGATTCTACTTCGCCGGAGATGTGTGCAACGGGGACTTTTATATGTTCGTCCTCTCCCTCTCCCCCTCCCCCGTCGATACTCCGAACTCCGTCCTCAGAACTCCGTCCTCCGTATTATATCTAGCTAGTCGATCAAGCCCTATCCCGACAGACGATGGAGAACGGCTTCAGGAAGTTGGTCCACTTGTCCAGTGGCTCGAGACGGTAAGTCGGGTCTTCGAGGGAGATCTATAGGGAATGTCAGCGAGTTTCTCTCAACGTGGTCTTCTCCATTGTGCAGAAGAAGAGGGATTACTCACGTCAAACTCGAGCAGTATTCTTGGAATCACCTTCTTCATCTCCAGCTCTGCAATGTGTCTGCCGATACAGACGCGCTTGCCGGCTCCGAAGCCCAGCACCGACCTCTCCATCACGAGCCGGCGGTGGTGATCGGCCTCCAGCCAGCGGTCGGGTCTGAATCCGTCGGCGTCCTTGCCAAAGACGGCGGGATTGAAATGCGCATTCCACACGGACACGCCCACTGTCGTGCCGCCGGGGAGGAAGGTGCCGGCGATCTCGGCGCCCTCGGGAGGCACCTCTCGCTCCAGCAGGGCGCGGACGAACGGCTGCAGACGCATGGTCTCCTTGATGACGGCGCCGAGATAGTCAAGTCGGTCCGTCTCGATGAATCTGGGCTGTGGGGCAGCGGAAAGGCGTCCTTCGTTGAGCGCCTCGTCGATCTCGGTCCGCAGCTTCTGCATCGCCGCGGGGCTCTTGAGGAGGTTGTAGAGGATGGTCGTCATGGTGTAGGCCGACGTGTCGAACCCGGCGGCGATGGTGCTCGAGATCATCCGCAGGATGCTCTCATCCGTGACGCTGTCTTTGTGCCGGTTTCGTCCCGTGAGGTATTTGGCCATGAGATCGGGCCTGCCATCACCGCCGTCATCACGGACGTATCCCTCGGCCGTCTTGTTCTGTCGCTTGCTAAACTCTTCAAGGGCCATGGCCGTCCATGCCTGTGGTTTCCCTCCCGACCTGCTGTACCATGCCGCACACAGCGGAGACTTGAAGAGTAGTTTCTCCAGAGCGGGCACGCTCTGCCAGCGGCCCCAGTGGACCAGTCGCGCATAGGCCGAGACCGGCGCGGTTGGCCGTCCACTGGTCAGATAATCCGTGTGTTTGCTGAAGGCCGCCTTCATCAAGAAGTCGACTTGGAACTGCTGCATGAGGTCGAAAAGTGGCACCGTCCGGTTCTGGCGGATGACCTGGATGAGGATTTCGACCGTGTGGTCGACGTCGGGCTCATAGTCCAGCAAATTCTTGGCCGCGAATGCACTTCCCACGGCGCGCTTAAGGGTCGACACTTCGTTTTCGTCCAGGATGTCGATTACGGTGCCGAAGATTTTGCCGTTCACAAGCGCCCTCAGTGTTTTATAAGACTCGGCCTTATCCACAAACGCGGCTGGCTGTCAGTCGACAACGGGCTACGTACCATGGGGTTGGAGGGAACCTGCTCATACATACGTACCTTTCTGAATTCTCCGTGCATGGAATGGATCACAGGGACCGCGGCAGGGTCGGCGATGCTCACAGTATTGGGACCAATGCGTACCAATGGCCCATATTTGTCGTGGAGTTCTTTGAGCGTCTGGGAAAATCCTCCAGATTGCGTGACAGAAAACCTCCACAGGTCTGTGAAGGATGCGAGGAGAGGCCCAGGGATTGAGGACAGCCGTCGGTATCTGACTAGGCCCGCTGCCAGCAAGAAAATGGCGACCGACCAAAGCAAGAAAGACAGCGAACAAAGCATATTGGAAGCGGCGTTTTGGAACAGGAATACTGGGTTGGCGAAGACAAGTGTGCAGATTGAGGAATCGATCTCACGTTCGAGGGTGATCTTGACGTTACCTTTTTATCCTTCACACTGATTCCCCAAAGGTCATCTCTGGTGGTCAGACTCATCTTGCATGGACAAGAGAGAGGGTTGACGGCCGTCGATCAAACCCACTCTCACACTGTTTTCCGTGACTGACTCCATGGGGCCTTACATAAGATTCCAGGAGTTTGTCCCTTTCTCATTCCAGGCTGGACATGCCAGATCAAGCCCCCTCCTGACTGACTGACCAAGAGGAGACCCAGCGACCCATATGAAGTGCGGCAGACATTGCCCGAGGAGGGTGACTATGGGGGCCCTGCGTGGCGAGGATTGGACCTGTCCTGATCGACATTCACCTCGAGGGGGACGTGGTGGCAGCAGAACAACTTGCTGATCCACTGTCCTTTTCGCTGAAGTTGATGGAAGATCGAATAGCCTCCTTTTTCTCTGAGATACTGGCAATGATCAGCGAGGGGCCATACCGCTTGAGCAGTTCTCCCGGGGTATTGTGCTCCTCAACGACTCTCCTTGACTAAGCTCTGGCATAAGGTGGATCTCCATTTTATGGGGGTCATGAACTGATTCGTGCCATGATTACGGGGTTGCGTTGCGCATCGTACAAATGTACGTTCACATAAGTCGAATGGATCATAGCTCGTCAGACGCCGGTAAACCAATTGGCATTATTACCCACGGACAGCTGGAGTTGTTAAATGCTAGTAATCAGTATTCAGTCGAAAAGAATAAAGAATAGAGTGGCCACCCAGGGGGGTTTCCCGGGCAGCCTATGACAGTCTTATGTGTGTGTGTGTAGATATATATATATTATCACAGAGGCATTGTCTGAATCGATCGTTTTCCCACGTTTGCAAATTTCCAGCCAGTTGACACCTTTTACATCCCCCCAGGGATAATAGTTGATGCTCATGATGACACAAGTGTGACAGCGAGGTAGACTCAGCCGCGCAATTCCGTGCCATTCATAATATTTGATTTCACGCCGTTCTGTCCCTTATTGGCCATTAAGTGGGGGCTAAGCAAACACAGACTCCACGGGAAGCATGATTTTGACCTCTACTTCGAGAGAATCGAAGTCACCATACCAAGGATTCTGCGAGAGATACTAACAGGGTGCTTCAACGCAAATAACGTGTTCTATGCCTGGCACAAGTCCATTCATTGCATTAATTCCTTATGGCTCCTCGTATATGCAATAGCATTTTTGTTTCATATTGTCCATGAAATGTATCTTAGCCCCTCTTCGCCTTCTTCTGCTCCAACGTCTTAGCCGGACTATCTCTGGGATCGCGATACTCGTTCGCCGGATCCCCCTGACGTCTCGCCTGCGTCATCTCTGCGTTGCCCGACACCGAGGGCTTGGTGCTGTGGAAAAGGTAGTAGAAGGGCAAAAAGGCCAGGATGCCTCCAGCTGCGATTCTGCAGGTTTGCCGCACCATTGGGTTAAAATTCTTGTTCCAGCAAGGGCGAAACATATATAATATGAAGATATTATGTATACAGACAAAAACATTTTCTTGAGGGCTGCTAGACGGACGGGGTCTTACAGTGGTATGCTGCTGCTCATGTCGCGTGGGGCGCCGGGGCGCGTGGGAGCTGCTTTCACTGCGTAGGCTCTTCTGGTCGTCTGTCTTGCCCCGGCCTGGATGAATTGGACGGATGCAAGGGCAGGCTTGTATGCCTGGGCTGCACGAGTTCGAGGCGACATGGTGGTGATAGTGGTGGTCGATATGTAGATTGGGACGTTTGACGAACAACAACAACAGCAAACAACAATAACAACGCCAACAAACTTCACCACATCAAAGGCTGTCGGGTTTTGTATATTCCACCTCTCTGCCTCTTTGTTCTTACCTTTTCGCCACACGAAACATCACTGCAATTACTGCGTCATGAAGGCATCATTCCCCCGGCGGCTTCTCTCTCTGTGTTTCGACTTGAACGTCATGACTTTGGGTCGTTTACATCATGACACCTTGACACTAAGAGTGCCACTGACAATGACACATTTCATTTACGTCCCCGCTAGGATCAGAGGAAAGCGAGAGAGATGTGGTCCGAGTGTTTTCTTTCTTCGAATCTTAACGATCCTTCAATCGACGGTGCCACTCCACTCCACACCATCTCCCCCGGATCGACACCGGGGGGGAGGGAGGGTCGAGACTTGAGACTATCAAGGGAGAAGTAGGGGGAGACGGAGATAGAGAACTCCCCACATGAACCACCCACCTAGAGTACTTCCTAGTACAAGGAAGTAACTAGCTGTCTCGTATCGAGCTACAGTAGATGGGGAGCACTCGTGGTACAGACTATGGTACCTACGCGGCTCGCTAGACAATCGACCTAAAAACTCGTTTCGAGTACTGTACATCGCGGGATAGGTCCAAGCTCAGTAGGTAGGCCCTCCATGTTGATCAACTAGCTAAACCCGGAGGTACCGTAAGTAGACTGCAGGCCGAACGTCGCAGGCCGAACGCCGGAGGCCTCCTACCCAATGAAGGAGAGTCAGTCAAGATGGCGCCGCGAGCACTTCTCCGTACCAAGGCGGGTACCTCCCTAGGTGCTTCTAACTGAGACTCCTCCGGCGGACGAATGCAAGCGCTACGAGTCCGGGGTCATCTGTGTTGCGGCGGGCTGGGGGCCTGGAATACTTTGAATCTCGCCTACATACCCCTCGTACTCCGTACCATTGTCGTTATTGCTCGTCGAACCAGATGCAGATACAGTCCAGCCAGCCATCTGCCAGGCTAGCCCACGAGAGGGGCCCGCAGCTAATTCAGGCTCTGGCAGTCGCCCATCCGCTCACGAAAGGGGAAAAGGGAAAAGAAATTGCTCCAGACCGGTGCACGCGACCGGCTGCCTTGCTTAGACACTTGCTTCTTCTGGGGAATGACTATCTTCCAGCAACGGCAATGTTCGCCTGCAGATATTCCGCTGCGATACAACAATGGACAAAGAACCTCCCAAGTGACAAAAGAAATGGTGATACGCATCATCAAATCACACAAACCAAATTACCTCCCACAGGTCGTCTAGTTAATCCGAGTCTTCATCCATCTATCACCATCCATCATCAAACACTTGATGGACTTCCTCCTCGACGACCAAGCAAGATGTTCACAGCCTCATCCCAGCCCCGCCCGTTCACAATATCCATCACTGTCCTGCCTGACTCATCTTTAGCCTCCAGGTCAACGCCACCACCCCTCTCAACGAGAAGCTTCAAGACCTTGGCATCCCCATTTTCCACCGCCTGGAGCACTGCGTTCCAGCCACGGTACATGAGATTAATGTCGGCTCCTCGAGCCAGTAACATCTCGATGATGTCGGTATCCCCGCTTCGGCACCTGCGGATGGCCTTGATGATGGGTAGATGCTCGCCCGGGGCATTGACATCGGCACCGGCTTCTTCGAGCAGGAACCGAACAATCTCTTTTCTGTCCTCCCGGATAGCCGTGGTCAGAGGGGAGAAGACACCGCCGTTCTTGTCCTCGACGCTGACACCGGCTTTCAGCAACAACTTGATGCTCTCGAGCTGGTTTGCAACAACTGCCATCTCCAGCACTCCCTTGACAGCCCTTGGATTCGAGAGCGAGGGCAGAAGCTTGCGAAGCATCTCGGGTCTCTTCACTGCCATACAGATGGGCCAGTCCTGGCCTCTGATCCCAGGGTCTGCACCATGAGCAAGAAGTATGTCGACAAATTCAACACGGTCGTCACGAATGGCGGTGGTCAAGGGGGTATAACCTTCGGCGCCCCGGTCATTGGGGCTGACGTGCTGGTCGAGCAAGTACATGAGCGCGTCTTTGTTGTTGTGAGCCACGGCCTTCTCGATGATGCCTTTGGGCTTGTGCAGATTGGCGCCGGCTGCAACCAGCTGTGGAAGCAGATGCGTGCGGTCATGAGTCACACATTTGAAGGCCGGGTATTCTGATGCCATCACGTTTGCATCGGCGCCATTAGCGAGGAGAAGGGAGACCAATTCGCCGCGGTTATCACGAATAGCAGTACAGAGGGGAGTGTAAACCCCGTCTTTCTTAGCGTTGGGGTCAACACCAGCTCTCAGCAGGATGGTTACCGACTCCAGGTGGTTGATACTCGTGGCAAGTTCCAGAATTCCCGGGCACTTCTTGAAATCTGCTCCCCGCGATAGCAGTAGCTGGAGCGCCTTTGGTTGGTAGGTCGAAGGCCACAATAGGTGCTTGGGGCCAGGCAAGTTGGGGTCCGCTCCATGATCGAGGAGGAAGATCATGATGTCAACTCTTTTCGCTTGGATTGCAGTGAAGAGGGGCGTCTCTCCCTCGCTATTTTTGCCGTTCACGTCGCTACCGTAGTCGACCAGAAGCTCCGCCAGCTTCTTCGGATTGGTCTTAGTGATAGCCTTGATGAGGAGTGTGTTGCCATCAGCGGTGTTCAGATTGGCGTCTCCGCCGTAGGTGAGATAGAGTTGCAAGAACTCGAGTTTGTTTTCGATGACGGCCATAGCGAGGGGGCACTCTCCATCAGGGCCAGCTGGAAGATTGGGATCTGCCCCATATTTCAGAAGCAACTTTGCGGCATCAAGGAATGACAGCTCTGTTGCGGACAGAAGGGGACTGAACTTGATCTTGTCGAGACCGTTGGGATCGGCGCCGAAGAGAAGCAAGAGTCGGACCGTCTCGACATCTTGGTGCAGGACTGCTTCTCGGAGAAGGTTGACCCCGTTCTCACCGTCGGGAGGGACGCCACAATCAAGCAGTTGCTCAATCATCTTGTGCTTCTTCTGTTGAACAGCGTTCAACAAGGTCGACTTGAGAGCTGCAGAGGTGGCCCCGGAAGTCTGCTTGGGTGTCCATCTCGGGACTGTAGCAGGGTCGGCTTTCACGCGAGCAATTGGGGAATTCTTGTCCAGTCCGATCTCGTGTATCATATCCTCGATCTGACCAAATGATTCCGCGGTTTTAACGGAGACGTGGTCTTCAACGGCAACCTCGGTTCGAGAACTCTCACTGCTCATCATTTGCAGGTCCCTGGTGGCTGAATTGACCGTCAGTTTGCTGGATCTGGTACTTGGCGCTGGCCTGCTGAAGCTTTGCCTCTGAGGGATCGCGGTCAAGGTATCTGGATCCTCGCCGAAATGTGACATAAAGTTGGACTCTGACGTTCTCTCCGTCAGCGGAATGGCTGGTAGTGGTGGGAGAAGATCGGCACCCTCTGAAACAGGAGGTAGAAGAGGAGGCTTAGCGACGGTTGGCGCGGTCTGCTTGATGCTTGGGTTCATGCGCTCGAGGACAGCTGCGAGACCTGTGTATCCAATACCGACGGAGGCATCCGCCTTTGCGTCGCCGAGATACCATCTGAATACCATTGCGCTCATACCCAGCGCATCACGGCTCCTGGCGAGCGAGTCCTTCATCTTGTGGATGTCCGTGTCGGCGAACATCATGTGCCAGCCTTTTTTGAGCTTTCCCAGGCTTCCCTTCTTCTCGTACTCCAAGAACTTGATAAGCATCTGGTTCAGGACAATGAAGTCATCGTTGGTCTGACGAAACTTCTTGTCCAGTTCCTGTTGCATGTCATTTGGGAACTGACTGTGCGTCCGCGAGGCTTCGGATAGACCTGCTTCGATGGAGCACAGGACGCGACAGATATCGAGGAAATTTGTCGCCAGCTCACGAAACCCATGTGGAGCCTCCTTGACAGTGCTGAGGTACTCTAGCATACGCACCGATATGCTGTTTCCTAGTGTGGTTGCTTTGCCGCAGAGGTCCAAAAGGGACTCTTTGCCCTTCCTGGGCGCCATGTTGGAAAAGATGAGGGTGGCGCGGTGAGTCTTTCGATCTCGGACGGGACAGGTATGCACCTGTAGGCTGAAAACAAAACAGCCCAGCGAGAACGGGCCTGAGGTTGACCAAATTCTTGGGGAGGAAGAAGCGGAGCTTCAGGTTCAAGATGAGCTGCCACGTTTTTATCTCTCCTTTCTCCCCTCGCAATGCTCGAGACGGACCAGAACATTCGACACGGGAAGGAAGTTTTCATCCACTCCTCATACGAACCATTGATGGCGGCCTCCTGGTACCCCAACGCCATCCATTCTTCAGACCAATGCCATTGTCAGCATGTGCCGTTGTACCACGTAGTACCAAGGCTTCTGTCCCACCAGAGAACTAAACAAGGTTGGTAGATCCTTGAACTTAGTACGAGCACAACCTGCCTTGAGACGATTCCTGAGGCAACTAGCCAGAGTCCCTCGTATCCTCCCTTCCGCCTAGGCCTCCCTCGTTCCCATTTTTGGGACTGGGCAGGGATGGAACCTGCTCAGAATTTGTTGCGTTGCAAGCTCATCTGCTTGAGCTTGCTTGAATCGTCGAGGGAAGGATCGTCGATGCCTCCTGACCAGCAGGATTCATTTCCACCCGATTCGTAGGTCAGAATCTGTTTACTTTCGGGAGCGCGGAGCGTAACCAGATGAACTGCCAGGCTTTGCACGGGCCAGACGAAGTCATGCAGGTATTGTACCTACCTACTCCAGAAACGAAACGTGGTTGGCAGGTTGGGGTCTCGAACCAGGGCCTGAGGAATCTGCAAGCCGGTCGGGCTGGTCTTCAATTAGCCCTTGGAAAAGAGACGAATTCGACGCCAACCTGCTGCCCCTGACCCTGCCAGCCTTCCACCAACGAAGACAGTTGCTCTGTGCCAGGAGAACTAAGTTCCCCATTACTAATTATT